TTCCTCCCCCTCCCCTTCCTCCTCCTCCTTCTCCTGCACCTCCTCCTCCTGCACCTCCTCCTCCTCCTCCTCCTCCTCCTCCTCCTCCTCCTCCTCCTCCTCCTAGGTACCTAAGGGCACGTCCGACGTGAGAAACAAAAACGTTTAGAGCGCATAGAGTGTACCTGTGTTTTCAGAATGTCGATCTGGCTCAGCAGTTCCGTGGGCTGTCCTGGACCTCTTTGGAAGCCCTGTTGGGCTGTCTTTGTGGCGCTCGGGGCCCTCCTGGGCCGTTCTGGGCTGCTCCTGGAACCATTCCAGGCTGTTTTACAACTCTATGGGGCCCTCTGGACGTCACCTATTGGAGCCCTGAGCTGTCCTGTCCCCCTTTCTGGAGCCGGGGCCCGTGTAGCGTGTCCCCTTCCCCTCCCGCTTTCCCTGGGGTCGGGGCTGTGCTAGGCTGTCTTGGCGGCCTTTTGAGCCTTCTTGGGGCTCCCGTGGGCCGTCATGGGCCTCTCCGGGGGCCCTGCTGGACTGTCTCTGTGATTCGCGAGGCTCTTGTGGGCCGTTCTGGGCTGCTCATGGAGCCATCCCAGGCCGCCTTAAAACTCAATGGGGCCCTCTGGACGTCACCTCTTGTAGCCCTCAGCCGTCCTGCCCCCTGCTGAAACTGGGGCCCGTATAGCGTGCACCTTGCCCCCCGCCCCTCCCGTCCCCCTCGCGTCGCGCTGGGCATCCCTGCAGTCCGTCTTGGGCAATCTTGGGCGTCTGGGGGCCATATTGGGCAGCTTGAGGCAGCAATCGGGGCCATGTTGGGCTGTCTTGCGTGCCTTTTTGGCCTTCTTGGGGCTCCGTTGGTCCGTCCTGGGCCTCTCTGCCCTGTGGGGCTGTCTTTGTGGCGCTCGGGGCACTCGTTGGCCGTTTTGGGCTGCATCTGGAGCCATCCCAAGTTGTCTTACAACTCTATGGGGCCCTCTGGACGTCACCTCTTGGAGCCCTGAACCGTCCTGCCCACCTATGCTTGAGCCAGAGCCCGCACAGCACCTGCCCCCCCGCCCCTCCCGCACCCCCGCCCCAGGGGGGTCGCGCTGGGCTTCTTTGAACAAAAAACCCCTTGGGCCATCCTAGGCGATTTGGAAATCAGTTTGGCTCGTTAATGGTAGCAATCGGGGCCATGCTTGGCTGTCTTGGCGGCATTTGGGGCCTTCTTGGGGGTTCCCTTGGGCCGTTCTGGGCCTCTCTTGGGACGCACAGGGACATACTCTTACTACATGTCCGCCTTGGAGGCGCGCGTCCAACCCGAACATATAGTATACCCATTTCGTAGTAAATCGTTTCTCGAGAGGTGTGGCCAGAAAGCGCCCGCATAAGATTTCTCAATGCGCGCGTCGCCCTGGGGGGGCCACGAAACCATAGTATAGGTATGTTGGGGGGGCGCCGATCTCTGGAAGCTCTGTTAGGCTTTTTTTTTGTTGTGCTCGGGGCTCTCGTGAACCGTTCTGGGTTGCTCATGGAGCCATTCCAGGCTGCATTGCAACTCTATGGAGCCCTCTAGACACCACCTCTTGGAGCCCTGAGCCGTCCTGCCCCCCCTGCTGGAGCTGGGGCCCGTATAGCGTGCACCTGCCCCCCGCCCTTCCCGCCCCGCCCCCCCAGGGGGGGTCGCGCTGAGCCTCCCTGAAAACTAAAAACAAACCCTCTTGGACAATCTTGGGCGCCTTAGGGGCCATTTTGGCCCGTTTGGGGCAGCAATTGGGGCCATGCTACACTGTCTGGGCGGCCTTTTGGGTCTTCTTGGGGCTCCCTTGTGCCGTCATGGGCCTCTCTAGGAGCCCTGCTGGGCTGCTTCTGCAGCCATTCCAAGCTGTCTTACAACTCTATGGGGTCCTGTGTACGTCACCTCTTGGAGCCCTGAGCCGTCCTGCCCCCCACCCCTGCTGGAGACTGGGCCCACGTAGCGTGCACCTGCCCACCCGCCCCTCCCACCCCCCCCACCCCCCCAGGGGGGCGCGCTGGGCCTCCTTGTAAACGCTCTTGGGTAATCTTAAGCGCTTTGGGGACAATTTTGGCTCGCTTTGGGCAGCAATCGGGCCCAGCTGGGTTGTCTTGGCTGCGTTTTGAACCC